AAGAGAGAGACACATCAGTGTGCGAGAAAAACATCGATAGGTTGCCTCCTCTACAGGATCGAACTTGCAACCCGCACATGCCCTGACCAGGAATCAAACCTGCCACCTTTTGGTGTACAGGATGGCGCTCCAACCAACCAAGCCACCCAGCCAGGGTGATGTCCAGTGTTTTTATGACAATAAAATTTACCCTCAGGTAAAAAAGTATGTTTCTCACTGAAAATAAGGATTTATAACAACATGGGCACTGGAATTAGAAGGATCTGGGTTTCAACTCCCCCTTATGAACCACTGACCTTGAAAAGTGTTCTCCAAATCTCAGTTGTGTCATCTAAAATAGGGCTAGTAATACCCCACAGGCTTGTTACAATATTTAAATGAAATAATGTACCTGACACACAGAAAAAGACCAGTAAGTGGTAAGTGTTACTATGATCACCCCTCCTGAGGGAGGCGAGGAAGCAGGAGAGAATGATGCAAGAGGTGAAGAGGTGAAGAGGTGAAAGGTCAAAATATAAAAATGAGCCCTGACTCATCCCTAGAATAGTAGTAATGATTTCCATACAGAACAGGAGGGGGAGTGGTGGAAAAAGGTGATTCTGTATCAATTCTCACCCTGGTCAGAGAGAACTCTGGACCTTGGCCCGGTTCAGCTCTAACCCGCCCCATCACTCATCTCTCCCGCGGCTTCCAAAGCAAAGGTGTGTCATTGCTATCAGTCAACTGGGAAGGGATTATTTCTGACCTCAGAGGAGCTAATTTGCAGACACACAGACTGTTTCTGGGCTCTCCATGGGAGAGGGTAGTGACAATCAGGACAAAAACAGTAGCATCAACACAAAGGGGACAAGGTGGATAAAGAGCCACAGCACTGTATTCAGAAGGTTCCAGCGGACCATAAAAGATAAGAGTCACTCAAAGCCAGCTTAAGTCACCAGTGCAAAGTAAGCCAAAACTCTCCCTGACCTTCAGTCTCAGGCTTCAAGCTATGGGTTGGTGGTGAAAACAAGGGCAAGAGATAAGCCACTCTAGCTGCATATCAGTTATGCTCTTTGGCTCCTCTCCCTTCTCTGTCTCTACTCCTTGGCCAAAATCCAGCTGAGTGCATTTTATGACCTAATGATGGTGCTGGTCAAGGACTATGAAACTAACAATTATAATGATAATGGTAGCTGACATTTATTGAGTGCTACTCACCATGTGCTCTCCCCAGATCATCTCATTTAATCCTAACAATAATCCCAGACAGCAGGTAGTACCAATATTACAAGCAGTGATTCCTGGAGAGAAGCAGTTTGCACAATGCCTCAAAGTTGACAAGACAGAAACCCAGGGACATGGAATCTCGAGCCCTCCTCCTACCCTGCCTCCAAAGGTCTGGGACAAGTGCTCCCTAGCACAGACATTTAGCCATAAATACAGTCCCAACGTTTTAGTTCTAGAACTGGATCTTGCACTGTGTCTGGGTGATCTTCCCAAGGTTCTGATGAAGAAACTTTGTTTCGCCTGGCCCGTATGGCTCAGTTGGTTGAGCGATGTCCCATGCACCAAGAGGTCACGAGTTGAGCCCTGGCCGGTTTGGCTCAGCAGCTGGAGTGTCAACCCATGGACCAATGAGACCTGGGTTCCATTCGGGCCAGGGTCACATACCTCGGTTGTGATTCATCCCTGGCCCTGGTTGGGGGTGTGCAGGAGGCAACCAGTCGGTGTGTCTCTCTCACATCAATGTTTCTGTCTCTCTCTCTCTCCCTCCTACTCTGTCTGAAGATAAATGGAAAAATATCCTCGGGTGAGGATTAAAAAAAAAGAGGTTGCCAGCTGATTCATGATCAGGGCACATGCCCAGGTTGTGGGTTCAATCCCCAGTAGGGGGCATGCAGGAGGCAGCTGATGGATGTTTCCCTCTCCCTCTCTCTCTCTCAATAAAATCAGTAAAAACATATTTTTAAAAGAAACTTTGTTTCATCTTTGGAGTTACTTAAGAAGCTGTGTGTGTGTGTGTGTGTGTGTGTGTGTGTGTGTGTGTTCTTTGTGTTGTTTTTTCTGAGTCGCCAGAGCCATAGAGAACCACAGCAGTTTGGGAAGCAGCTTCCAGCATTCCCAGTAGTGTGCAGCATGGGCTGGATGCCTGAGGGCCCCTTTCAGCCTCCTTCCTGACCTGTCTAGAGGAAAGGAGGTGCCAAAGGACAGGACAAGGGCATGTTACACAACCAGTTTACTTCCTCCTCACATGTCCTTTCTGGCTGAAGTTCCCAGGCAAGTCAGCTAGATTCAGTCTTTTGGTATCTGTATTGCAATTGATCACTGATACTCATATCTGTATTGCAACTGATCATTGACACTCGTATTTGTATTGCAACTGATCACTGACACTCATATCTGTATTGCAATTGATCATTGACACTCATATCTGTATTGCAATTAATCATTGACACTCATATCTGTATTGCTATTGGTGATTTGTACTCCACCTTGGAGCTAAGAGCTTAGATGTAACAACACTTTACTGACATTAGCATTCTGAATTACTTCAAAGGCCCAAGTGGAAAACTTGCTAAATCACCTTTCCATTCCTGAGGAGAAGGCCACATCTGGAAAGACAGATCTCTCTCTTGGTAATCTATTTCAAAATTAACAAAAGGCTAAAGTCTGTCAGGGGAAAATCTGTTCCATCCTCAGAAGATATGATTCAGCAAGTCTACTTTCAGTGGTAATTGTGATGCAAATGGCTTTTGAACCCACATTTTAAGAAACACTGTTTAAACTGTAACACCTAATCTTGTGACAGATATTTCATTCCACTTTCTTTTTCTTTTTATCTTCCAGGTTTTTGAAGCTAAGTTTCTGAAGGCAGGGATTGTACCCAGCTGTATTCCTGGAAAGGCCACAATGACTACTACATAAGGCAAACACTCAAATGTCTACTGACCAGGGCTGAACATGCAATGAGCCCCTAAGTTCCTGAATCTCTGGCAAGGTCATGATCCTCTCTCTAGGACTGGAGTGGCTCTACACTCAGAGCAATTGCAACGAAGCCAACGACTGTTCCCATCTGATCCCATAGTTAATGGAGCCAGGCAGCCAGCCCAAACCATCGGCACAGCACATTTCTCAAATGCTCTGCTCCAGCATCACTAGCCAAGTTCTACTCCATTTCCTTGGACTGCAGTGAGCCAAGAAAACAGTCAAGTCCAGGGTGAAGCCGTGGGAAGGTAGCCAAATCCCAGCAAAGGGTGCAGGAGATTCACTGCACTCCCCCTGATCCAGGCCCAAATCCAGCATGGCAAAGCTACTTCCACTGCACCTTGCAAATTAGGAAAAGGTGCTGTCACCTGTGGTTCTGTGTCCTCTTGCAGAAGAGGAGACTAATGTTAAAAGAACATGTGCTAAGTGGGTGCTTTTCCAGTCCCATGGCCAACAGGGCAGCTGATATCTCACTTTAGTGACCTTGGGATTAAAACTGGCAAAGCCTAGCTGAAAGCCCACATGAAGCTCTGCAGTGGATAGGTATCAACTCCATTAAATGTTGTGCAGAACACTCTGTTGTTTACAGATAAGTGCATAATATCCTAGAGTCTGCAGGGCAGAGAGGAAAGGAATATATGTAAACATTCATTTACTCTGATGGAATTCTTCCAGAAAGAACAGAAGAAATATTGATAACACTGGTTTTCCTCCAGGAGATACCTTGGGGCACAAGTGTGAGTGGGAGCTAGTTCATGTTTGTTTGTTTGTTTTGGGGGGGTACCTTTTGATTTTAAACCCATGAATATATTACCTAATCGAATATAATTACATTAAAAAATTAATTTTCAGACTCTTAGCCTATGCCAGACACTAGGGTAAATGCTGTTCTCAAGAGCTGGATGGGGAGCAGAAATTGATTAGCAATCATTTCCTTGCAATCAAAGGTTAACAACAGGGGTGAGTAGGGGTCCCTGGACTTGAAGGAATGGAAGAGTGAAAGAATCAGTTAGGGTTTCCTCCAAGAAGTACGTTTTGGGCCAAGTCTTAAGAGTATTAGCTAAACAGCTAATACAAATTGCTGCCACGCTCCTAGAAGCCTGAACTGTGATGAGTATGTGGCCATAGGAACACAAAAGCACTGAGTGAATATCACTCGGAACATTCTATACCAGTCCCAAGCATGAGGGGAAAATAGTGCACAGCGATGTAAAAAAGATTGAAAATATCAGATTCTACACTACACTGCCCCCTCACCCCAACTTACCCAAACACACCGAGAATACCATTGTGTAAGTATGATAAAGGGAACTAAATGAGCAGACGTTTACAGAACGTTTACAGTGCTTAGAAGACGTCTGGCAGAAAGTACTTTATAAATGTTCAAGTCAAATAAAGCGTAGCAGAGATGCAAAGCTTCGCAAGCACCTGCCCAGAGAAGAATTCTCAACACCCCTGGATTATTCTAGGAGCCAGGCCTGCTGGGTTTTCTTCCCGATACCACGTTACTAAGATACTAGACGCAAAAGCGACGGAGGCTAGACCCGCACTTTGAAGGGCAGCGCCGTCCCTCCCTCCTGTGATCAGGGTAGCAAGGGCCCTTTAGCCCTCTCTGCTTTTTCCTCATTACAGAAACTACAGTAATAACATTCGAGCCTCCTTCAATTTCTCGACCCAGGCGATCAGCCGAGAATGGAGAACGCCCTTAGGGCTTTACGCATAACACCCAGCGTGGAGAGCAGGTGGCTTCCATGCGCCCGCGGCGCGGTACGAGAGCGCAGACAGGTGCCCGCAGGCGCGCAGTACCCGCTCTCCGCGCTGCTCCCCGTGGGCACGAGGGCCCAGAGCCTCCGGGGCGAGTGCCTCGTCTCGGCCTCCCCGGGAGCGCGGTGCCCAGCCCGGCCCCGAGGCCGCCCGCCCCGCCTCCACGCGCGCAGTACGCGGTGCCCACGCCGCGGGGGACGCGCGGCCCTGGCACGCCCCAGAGAGGGGCTTCCTGGAGGCGGATCCCGCGCCGTCGGCCCCACGCCGCTCACCAGTTCCCCGAGCCCACGATGCACACTTTCAGGGGCGACGCTGCCATGACCAGACAGAAACGCAGCAGCCCAACGCGTGCCTCTCCAGCCTGCGGCTGGCCTCCGCCCGCTCAGCCTGACCCGCAGCGGCTGCCGAGGACCCCGCCCCTCCCGCCTCTCCGCCAATGGCGCGGCCACCCCCACCCGGGAGCACCGGGCCACAGCGGACAGCCAGGGAGGACCCGCCCCGCCACTCCCGAGAACCACTGCGCACGCCTGGGCCTGGCTGCCTTCTCCGCCCGGCTCCCGCACCGCCCCACCCCTGCCCGAGGCATGCCGGGACTTGTAGTCCACACACCCTGCTGCCGGGAGCTCCGCCGGACGGCCCCTCCCACCGCGCGCCGTGCAGCCCCGGGGAGTTAACTGCTCAGCGACTCGAGGCACCCTACCTTCTGGGCAGAGCAGGTCCAGATGGGCTCGCCCTGGTGCCCCGCTACCACAGTGCCTGTCTCCCCAGGCGGAAAGAGCTGCAATTTGGAGCCGAAAGAGGATCCCAGATTGACTCTGGAGTTGACCAGACTTGGACCAGAGCTTGAAGTCCCCACACCTGTCTTTTCAGCCTCTGCCACACTTGTTAGAAGCAAGACGGCCTTGCACCCCTGAACTTCTTAATTAACTTATAACTTCTGAAGCCTTTGGGACTTGGCTGGACAGTACCTGCGCTCAGTGTGTACTCTGGTTAGAGTCAAGAGAGAGACTTGGACGCCGGGGGCGTCGTCCGCACCCACTTGCTCTGCAGGGCTCCCGTCCTCGTTATCACTGTGCCAGTGCACCGGGAGAGTTTGTGGTTGTGAGACTATGTGTGCTTCCTTCCTTCCTAAAAATAGAACTTTATTCATTCTGAGCGTCGCTCTCCACCAGGCGCCCTGCTAGACCCTGTGGGAGGAGGACAAAGTGGTTTAAACCAGTGGTTCTCAAACTCTGCTGCTTATCAGTCTCTGGAGCTTTTAAAAATCCCTGTGCCGAGGCACCACCCCAGGGCGATTACGTCAGAGGCTCCCAGAGTGGGATACAGGCATCAGAATAAAAAAAAAAAAAAAATTCCTGAGGTGGTTGCAAAAGGCAGTCAAAATTGAGAACCAGAGAACTAAAATACCAATAGGGACTGGCTGAAGAAACAAATACTCTAGTAGCTAGAAAATACTAGGCCTATTAGTCTGATGCCCAGAGGACTAACCATTATTTTTGTTTTCATCTCTGCGTTGTATGAAAGATTTACGTATGTTACTTGTATTTACTCAAAAAATACTTAAAGAGTGGATGAGACAGATCATTCTGTCCACTTTCTCAGGGACTGTTTGCTCTCAATTGTTTTCGTTAATGGAAAGATACCTCAGCAGGGATGGTGGGGAAAAAGGACTATTCAAGCTTTATTCATTTTTCTCTTGCATGTGTTTTACAAAACGGGGTTGTCACATTAAGTAATGAACTTATGCACTTGAGGAGTATACATGTGATTTACAGAAAGTGATTGATTCATTTTTAGCCTTTGCCTAAAAGATTTATACCTCAGATGGAAACTCCTACTCCCAGTGTTGCAACTACACATGCATGATAATGAGCTACCTGACTGTTCCATGGACAAACCTGCAGAGCACTAGTGTATGAAATTTACCAATCACTTCATATAATCACCCGATATTCACGACACATTGTGCCAGAATACACAGAGTGAGTAGTTACTTATTTTATAGACTTGTTGCAGAGATAATACAAAAACCAAATAAGTGAAGAGAGGGGAGAATTTTAGTCAGAGATGCAGCCAGGCCAAATTAAATTGTAGGGGTTTGTGATCCATGGTTTTCGTTTTTTTAAAAAAGAATTTCCCACCAAGCAAATCTGGGTAACAAACATCAAAATTAACAATAGTAATGGAGCCCGGCCGGTGTGGTTCAGTGGTTGAGCATCGACCGATACACCGAGAGGTCGCCAGTTCAATTCCTGGTTAGGGCACATGCCCAGGTCCTGGGCCCAATCCCCAGTGGGGGGCATGCAAAAGGCAGCCAGTTGAGTTTCTCGCTCATGGATGTTTCTCTTTCTCTCCTTGCCTCTCTCTAAAATCAATAAAGAAAAAAAAAAAATAATAATAATAATGGAGCCAATGTGGCTCAGTGGATTGAGTGTGTCCCATGGACTGAAAGGTCCCAGTTCAATTCCCGGTCAGGGCACATGCCTGGGTAGCAAGCTCAATCCCCAGTAGGAGTCGTGTAGGACACAGCCAATCAATGTTTCGCTCTCATCGATGTTTCAATCTCTCCTTTCCTCTCTAAAAAATCAATAAAAATATATTTTAAAAAAGTAATAGTGCCCTGGCCGGTTTGGCTCAGCAGTTAGAGCGTCGGCCTGCGGTCCACCAAGACCTGGGTTTGGTTCCCGCTAAGGGCATGTGCCTTGGCTGCGGTGTGTACCCGGCCCTGGCTGGGTCGTGTGGGTGGCGGCCACTTGATGTGTCCCTTTCACGTCGATGTTTCTCTCTCTCTGTTCCTCTTTCTCCCTCCCACTCTATCTGAATAAAAAATGGAAAAATGTCCTTGGGTGAGGATAAAATAAATAAATAAATAAATAAAATAATAGTAATGGACTTAAACCCTTTGAATAACAGAAAATAACAATTTATGAGCCCATGGTGATTTAAAGAAATAAATAAACAAAGAAGGCAGAGGGAAAGCTCTTCATTAAAGTAGAATGCCAACTAATAAATATAGAAGAAATGATGGTGCTACACAGTCATCAATGGATGCTCAAATAGTGGTGAAAGTTTGATAAGGATATTTACCTAGCCTCAAAGTCTCCACACAAATTACTTACAAAGGATAAGAGAATAATTAAGAAAAAAAGTTTTTAGAGAAAACTGGCTGACACCACCTTAACCAAGTGGTCAAAGTTAACATTACCATTGATGGGACAAGCCAACACGTGGGCCTTCCACTGAAATGAGAAGGCATTTAGTTAATATTGTCTTTTTGCAAAAAAACATTTTGAAATAGTTTCCAGACCTTGGGATTTTATAGATTAAAAATATTTATACTTGCCCTGGCTGGTTTGGTTCAGCGGTTAGAGCATCGGCCTGAAGATCAATGAGTCTCGGGTTTGATTCTGGTCAAGGGCACTTTGGTTTCAGTTCATCCCCGGCCCTGGTCGGTGTCATTCGGAGGCAACCAGCTGGTGTATCCTAACATCCAAAAGGATCAAAAGGGTATATATAAGGTGTCCCAAAAAAATGTATACACACAAAAAAGTGTAACTACAAAGCTAGTGTTTATTAAAATACATTTCATTTTCAAAATGTAATAGAATCTACAGACACCCTGTATACATATTTTGGGGATACCCTATATATAGTGAAAATCTCTTTCCTTCCCTTTTCCAGTAGCTCCCCAGGTTCTTCCCTTGAGGAAACTCTTATTACCAGTTTTTTTGTGCATGGACATTGTTCTGTGACTTGCTCCCTCCCCACTTAACATTATTTCATATTAAAAATGTTGGTCAGTGGGGATGGGGAGGAGGGTGTCAATGGGGGAAAAAGGAGAAATATCTGTAACAAAAATAAATTAATAAAAAAATGTCAGTCAATGCCAAAAAATTGAGTGCACATAATGGAAACTTGAAAAGAATGTATTTAGCCTTTCAGAAAAGTCTCCTGCAAAGTATTTTTCTCATTTCTCTGTGGCCCTGAAAACTTTTCCACAGGCTGGTTAAATCCATTCCTCTAATTCCAGGTAAGACTTACACTTGGACCACCCCAGAGAAACATTTTAGCTACTCTGTCCTCATAGTACACAATGTCACTACTTGCTTCCTAGTTACACACTGTACAATCCCCAGTGGTGACATTTGTTCTTGGTACAACTGGCTTCAAATGAAATTGCCCTTCTTCAATATTGTTATTGGCAGGCGAATGAGAAATTACAGATTTGGGGCTGAAAAAAAAATAGTGTTTCATTCTGGAAACATATATGGACTTTTATCTCACTTCCTTGGGGAATAGAGACATAATGGATGAAAGAAGTTCCGGCTGCTTGCAAGAACCAAATAGAGCCCCAGACACTTAGCAGTGACAGGTGTCAATTGTAATCTTTTCATATAAAAGTTTATTAAATTATAAAAGGGGTTTGCACCAGGTTTTATCTACCAACTGTCCCTTTTCACCCTTGGGATGGTATGAGGATTGCTTTTTTTTTTTAAAGATCATACTACTGCACTGGCCAGTTTGGCTCAGCGGTTAGAGCATCGGCCTGCAGACCAGAGAGTCCCGGGTTCGGTTCCCGCTAAGGGCATGTACCTCGGTTGCAGTTTGTCCCGATCCTGGTTGGGGTTGTGTGGGTGGCAACCAGTCGATGTGTCTCTCTCACATCGATGTTTCTCTCCCTCTCTCTCGTTTCCCCTTTCTCTCCCTCGTGCTCTATCTGAAGATAAATGCAAAAAAATGTCCTTGGGTGAGGATTAAAATAAATAAATAAATAAAGATCATACTACTATAAACTACCTTTAGTTAGCAGCGAACTCTTAACAAGCACTAGGATCACTTGGAGAACTTGGAAGTTTTAAAGATGAAATTATCAGATGTAGTATTGTATCTTACCAGAGAAAGGCAGTGATATTTATTTAGTTTCTACTTGATTCAAAATCAAATGTTAATCTGGACTTGGTTCTAGATTTGAGTCTTGTTCATTTGCTTATTCAGCAGGTATTCACCAAAATCCTACCATGTGCCAGGAGCTGAAGATACAATGTTGAAGAAAAGAGCCAACGTTTAGAGTCCAGAGAGGAAGTCAGATAAAGAAACAAGTAGCTTCCTTAGAGCCCAGACTGATGTTGCTCTGATAAGAAACATGAGACTCCAGGAACAGAAGGGAGAGCTACCAACCTGGACCCACGGTGTCAGGTAAGACGTTCTTGAAGAAGGATATTTGAACTGAAGGATGAATAGGGTAGATGGAGGAAGAGTGTTTGAGGCAGAGAGAACACTGTGCATGGAGGCTTGGAGGCAAAAATCGCCGTTGGTTCCTTTGAGAATGCGAAAGGTCAGTAAGTTGGAAGATAGAGCAAGAGGTAAAGATAGATGAGGCAGACAGGTGGACA